CACTTTACACCATTTACTATAATTTATAATATATGCGAAGCAAAATTATTTCGAAAGCCCTTGAAATCCCTGAAAACATTTAAATGACATTTGATTAGATTTTCCCACTGCAGTGTTTTACGTTATTTTTCTCATTTTTCACTATGTACCTCACACACACACACACACACACACACACCGGGTGGCCAAAACAGTCTTGAAAGCCATTTCAGGCTATTAATAGCTTTTCACTAAGGATCAATACATTTTTGCCACTAGCTGGAGTGGCGGTCATCTTTTAAAAATCTGGGCCAGTTTCTGTGACTTATTATTTATAACTGAACCAGACATATGTGCATATGGATGATTAGTCAACACRCATCAGTTTTGCACAAACATATCAGAAATATGAAAGATATTTTTTGCACGCTTTCGCAGCAAACACGGTCTGTTTGTTAGCTGAACAGGATGTTCAGAGAGTAAGGACAGGGCAGRCTGTGTGTGTCTTCCACTGATTCAGCTCTGTGTCTACTTTGTGTTTAGTAATCACACTCTAGAATCATTTAAATTATTAGCTCTGAGTAATTAGAATCTAAGTGATTTGGTTCATTTCATACCGCTACATCTTGCTTTGGGCAGCAATGTAGTTTGGAACGTGGATTTTTAAGYACACAACCACAGACGTTTTTCTTCTTCCAAGCTCCATTTAAGCCTTTCTGCTTTATCATCACTCATTCTCTTTCATTCTACATCCCTGAATGATACAAGAATATCATTTTGATCACCTTGTTTGGGAATAAAAAGAGCAGAGTGGAAGATAAAACCAATAACGAGGCCAAAATTTGTAACTTCATCGCTTGTGTTGAAGGTTATTTTTAGTGTGGTAACAGCTTGTATGTACAAAAGCAGCCCTCGTTTTGCTATAAATCATCCGAAATTGTTTGGCTCATATTCTGTAGCACAGTAGTTTTTTTATTTTTTGTACTTTGGTCCAGTGTTTGTTTATATACAAAATTAGCTGTGAAGAGTGCTTTGTTTTAGCAAATCCAGACATTAAATTAAAGTCCTTTTATTTGTTATTGCCTGCCACAAACACATGCTTCCAGGGTAAACCAGAGGTGTACAACCCYGGTCCTGGAGGGCCACTATCCCGCATGGTTTACTTGTTTCTTTGCTCCAGCACCTGATTTGAATGAATGGATAATTACCAGACTTCTGCAGAACGTAAAGAGGTAATCCAATCACTGAATTAAGTGTGTTAGAGCAGGGAAACAAGTCAAACATGAAGGATTTTTTGTCCTCAAGGACCATTGCCCACCCCTGGCATAAACCCATGGTAGTGAATATTGGAGTCCACTCTGTCTGTTAGCAAAATATCTCATTAACCACCAAACAGATTTCTGTGAAACTCTCAAAGTAATCACTGGATGATTGTAAACAACTGATTATCTTTTAGAATCAACCATATCCAAGCAGAATGCCACAGCTAATCAACTTTACTCTACACCAGAGATGTGCACAAGTCTTTTTTGCAAGTCCAAGTCATGTCTCAAGTCTTTGGCTCCAAGTCTAAGTCAGGTCTCAAGTTTTTTGACCCCAAGTCCATGTCTAGTTGTGTGTATTACTTAACTGGCAGTTTGATCAAAGGTATTCTAACTATACTAGATTATATTCTATATTTTAATCAAATATTAAAACATAGTATCATATTTTAATAATACTATTAAAACATAATACTATATTTTAATAAAATATTAAAACATAGTATTATGTTTTAATAATACTATTAAAACATAATATGTTTTAAAGATACAGATAAGGTTGAAAGAACAACAATCAAGCATTTAGAGTATTATTAACTGTATTTTGCACTTGTAGTCTGACAAGAGCACGTTTGCTGCTGCTTTTACAATAAAATACAAGAAAAAAAATGTTTTTAAATGAATAAAAGCATGTCAGTGAAGATGATGAACCAGGATCCTTAAAGTAAAAGAGCTGCACAAGTCATCCCAAAAACAAATTTTGGATTTRGACTCCACACACTTTGCATTTTGMCAGTCTCTTGTCACGGCGTTGAATAAARTCTGTAAGAAAAGCTTAAAATGAATATACTGCAACACACCTGCCATGCTGAAGCTCTGTTTATCACGTAGGATACACCTCATTAACATTGTACAATGCTGGCCCCTCCTGTACTCAGGTGACTTGCGTTGTTCGCGAGTCTCAAACCACGAGTCCAAGTCAAATCTAAGTCTTTAATAGTAGAGACTTAAGTGAGACCCAAGTCTAAGTCTGAGTCACAAGTCCCCATCTCTGCTCTACACAAAAAATGTCTATCTCGTTAAATGTCTTTAGTTACTGAGCTAAACTGACGTGTACCRCTAGGCCTTTATTGTTTCATGTCAGGTAGCACCAATGATCCAATCAGGCCAAAATATTTAAATCAAAATAATAAGTGTGGGCAACAGATTTGCAAAATCTTCAACCTAATTTGTTAAAAAAAGGAGATAATGTAAGAATCTAATGTTAGAGGTACAGATGGAGGTTTTTCTAAGCGTTAGAGGAATATTTCTTGGCACAGCGAGTTTCCTCTGGTTGCCATGGCCACTGTGTCTTTCTCTGAAACGGTGCTCCACTTAACCCATGTTAAGACCACAATCTGTCATTTTTTTACACCATTTTTCTGTTCAGAAGTCTTGGTCGATGAAGGTTTTAGATGGACTTTTATCTAAAACTTCACTTTTTGCAAAATCTTTGATTTATTACGATGCAAAAATTCAGTTTTTCTTTTCTGAAATTGTTACAGTTATTTATGTTTTTCATACTCATGTAATTGTTAAAGCAGATATATGGGATTTGCAAATGTAAAACAAAAGAAAAATAGCATCAATAAATTCCCTCTGTTTTGCTTTAGAGCCTCAGGAAGGATGAAATCTGCCTCGCAGGGTTCTGGTGGTTACGACAGCGACAGTGTGGAGATGCATCCCATGGAGGAGTGTCCCGAGGCGCAGTACTATCACATGCAGTGCCGGCTGGGCGAGGGGGGTTACGAGCGGTCCCCGGGGTGCGGGTCGAGAAACTGGGGGCTTCGTAAGCAGGCCATACAGAACTGGCAGCGKCGGCCCTACAGGAACAGCACGGAGGGCGAGGAAGGAGATGTGTCGGACGTGGGCTCCCGGACCACAGAGTCTGAGGTGGAGATGTGGGAGCAGGAGAGGAGAGCCGTGGCTGAGGTCCAGCAGTCAGCACCACCCTACCCTCACCACGGCAGAGGAGCGTACCGCCCTAACGCAGGTAACCACTGTCTGTGAAGGGATAGGAGCAGTCAAGCATCCTGCTTGATACACACTCATCATGGATTTAAATGTGACTCATCATATCGAAATGAGGACTAAGTCAAATTTGKTYAAAAKGRCCTARYTACATTTTCAGATTCCTGGCTTTAAAAGCTACATTTTGATAVCTGGATCATCCTGATATCATAAGTGGATCCAGAGAAATGACCTAATTTGTCTTGCTGGTTGCAATAATACATTACTGTTTGGTCTGAATCCTACTGGTAATTTTATGTAAATTTATTAAGTAATTTTTTATGTAAATTTAAAGAGGAAACCTCAAATAGTGTTTGTGTATTAAGATTTCCCAGTTGAAAAATGAAACAAATACATTACAAGCTCACAGGGAAAAATTCTAATTTTTCAGTCATTTTTAATCAAAATCTATTTTTTGTTGCTACTGCTCAAAAAGTGTTTCAAAAATCTTTTTTAGGATTATATTTTAGACACTTCATTCAAACGATACATTGATAAGACACATTCATTATATTTAGACAAAATGCAATTTTTGCACACGTTTAAATCTAAACACTATATCTGCCTATTTTTCCACATTTCACTTTTGGACTTAATCCTCATTTCGATGTGACGTCACAAATGTCATTAATTTGGTTCATTGATTTGAATTTTTTTTTCAAGCTGGAAACAATTCAGTGTTTAAAAAAATAAACATCAACAAGCTTCTTGCGTAATTTTGACTGATATTTTACTGCTCTTCTTGAAAGAATGGGTTTATTTAATGTTTTGGTTTCTTGGCCCAAAAAAAAACTTTTTTCTAACCACAGTCCAACATTTTTCAAAACGGATAAGGCCATGGCTTCAGGAAGACCATACCAGAAACTTAATGTTAGTCTGCCTGATCCAATCAGAAAGCAGTTTTAAAGTCTGTCTATGATCGTTGCCCTGAAACATCCAAAAGTGTCGAAGTTTCAAATCCTCTTCTATCTGATGATTTTGAGATGAAGAAGATAAATTTGGATATAGTCCTCCTCTTTCATCATCATGATGCACCGTCAGACTTTTTAGGTGTGTAAGCATCAGTTTAATTCCTCCAAACATGTAGATTATTGTGGCCAAAAGCTTCATCTTTGTTTTCTCTGACCATGAGATTGATCCCTAGAGGACATTTTGGCTTGTCCTCTAAGCAGCTGTAAGTTTCAGTCAAGCCTAAAGGTCACACTTCCAGAGCGTGGGCTTTTTATTGTTTCTTAGTCAGCATCCTTTCAGTCCATGATGATGTAATTGTTACTAGTAGTAGTTAATTTTGCTGCTAAAAAACAGCTTTATGGAACAGAAGTACACCAATTAACTCATAATTTAGATATAGCGTTAATGGTTGACAAATACGTTTGACTAATATAAATACTAACTGGAGCTGGCTTTTCCATTGATTACATTATATTGATTGGTTTGTGTGCACACCACAGTCTCTGCCCACTACAGTTCCTTCTCTCATACTGAGCCAGTTGTTCTTGGACAGCTCTGCCACACAACAGATTGTGTGTTTTTTCTATCAGCGTCTTGCCATGCCAGCATCCTTGTACACTCTGCTGTTCCTCTCTCTTCTTTCCATCTGCCGTCAAGTTTTCAAATATCAGGTGGATCTCGGTAGTCTGGCATGCAGGGAAACTGGGCCAGGGTTCTGGGACGAATTCACGTTAGCAACTTTGCCCCGCCCCTCCGTATTAGCCGAACAGATTTTTCACACATAACATGTTACTGGCACCCTTTCGCTCTGACGTAGTTCTCCCTAATAGCAGAGTTTCTAGCAGGATTTGTTGGATCGCCTTGATTTTTAGGAGCAGATTTTGTCCCGTCATGTGGCATGCAGCTTAGCTTTTTTAGTTCATTTTGAAAATCTTGAGCGTAGGTGGTGTGTGAGGGAGAGATAGAATAAAAGAGACTCAGATAGTGTGCATTTCTTTACTGCCCTGATGGTTCTGAACAGATGCCTTCCAAGGCCAAAGATGATGTGAGTCACGTAGGAGTAATCTTGCCCGGAGGAACATGCCAGGCTCAGATTGGAGACATGGTATCAGCCGTAGAAAGAGAAGAAGAAGGGAAAGTTATTACGCAATCTCATTTACTTTCTTGCTTTTTTTTTTTCGATTGAAGACTGGCGCCACCATGTGACAAAAAATATTTTTGAAATTGTTGAAGTTGTGGATGGATGGATGATTTTATACATACATATATGAAACTGTTCATTGAGTCACTCATTAGGACATAATGTACATAAAAGGGTTTACTGACTGGTTTATTCCTGCAGGTCGGTCTGAAGCGGTCTACAGCAAGCCATGCCGCCACGAAAAGAGCCCTTCGAAATCCAACGAGGTGATCAGTCCAGAGATCCTGAAGATGCGCGCGGCCCTCTTCTGCATCTTCACCTACSTGGACACGAAAACCCTGCTTCGAGCCGCCGAGGTGTGCCGCAACTGGAGGTTTGTGGCCCGTCACCCAGCCGTGTGGACCAGGGTGCTGCTAGAAAACGCTCGCATTTCTTCCAAGGTGCAGCTTTTAGATACTGTGTGTTTTCTGGTTGAGAGCACTCATAACTGCTCTGGGTACACTGTATATACTTTGTTTTTATTTATTTTTTCTTAGTTCCTGAGCACGTTGTCTCAGTGGTGCACTCAAACACACTCACTCATCCTGCAAAACCTTAAACCAAGACAGCGGGGCAAGAAGGAAGCCAAGGAGGACTACCTTAAAAGCACACGGTGAGACAATACATAGACTGTAACTAAATTATCACCAATATTATCTGAGTTAGCTCACTTTATATTGCCTTTGCTTGAAAAAACTTTAATGTTTAACATATGGTTGAACTGAGAGACCAAACAATTCTTCAGACAGCGACTGATGAGAGGAGGCCAGGAGGAGGAATCAGGCTGATGAAAACTGACATTTTGGTGCTTTCTGATTATCCCCAGTCTGTGAAACATCAGCTTCCATTTGCTGGGAAAAAAAACAGGCAGAGAACTGATGAGAGTGGAAAAAATGAAGGTATTTGTGTGAAGGACGCAGAAGATCTTCTTAAATCATGATGCTTCACGAAAACATTGCAGCAGGGACATTTTGAAACAGTATTTGCTGTTCCTGGTATAGATGCTGAAATGAAGTGAAGAAAAAAAAAGTCACTTTGTTTTCTCTGTTTGTTTGTTTTTTTTTTTTCACTTGACCTTCCCTTACATTTCGGTCCAAGTGGCTGTCTGGAAGAAGGTTTGGAGGCGTTGTTAAARGCCACAGGAAGTAGCCTGCTGATACTGAAGATTTCACACTGTCCCAACCTGCTGACCGATCGCTCCCTGTGGCTGGCCAGCTGCTACTGCCGGGCCCTCCAGGCCGTAACCTACAGGTAGACCACCACACCCAGCTCTCCTGCACCCCGGACTGCACCGGCAAACACTTGACGTATGCATTGTTGTGTGTACACTTAAATGATGAGTGTTTGCTTTGTTCCAGGAGTGCTACAGACCCGGTTGGCCAGGAGGTGATCTGGGCCCTCGGGGCAGGATGTAGAGACATTATTTCTCTGCAGGTGGCACCCTTACATCCATGGTAATTTAAGAAGCCATATAAGTCATGACATTATCACTATCTRGCTAATATTCTTTAAGTCCATTATTTTTAAAAAGCAAAATAGCAGTCGAAAGAAAAAAAAAGAATCCTCTGAAGCTGTCATACCTGGATGGTGGCATTAAATATTTCAGACCGTGTGAAATGTGGGGATTCATAGTTCTGTGGCTAATAAGTCTAGAATCAAGGAAATTTTTCAAAGTAATAGATAATCTACAGTATTTAATGTTAGGTTCTGTGAAAAGATTATGAACAAATATTATCTTACCTGTTGTAGGCAGTACTTTAGACAAACGCAGTTCAAGGAAACAAAGTTTAATTCTGACAAGACTGATGATCTAATGGCTATTCCAAGATCCCAAAACTGATTTTTGCCACCTTGAAACAACTCTAGTCTTAAAGTAGACTTATCATGTTTTTAAATATTTATTTTAAACGTTAAAATAATTCAGCTGGAGTCTGTGTAAAATGGAACTGCAATGCTTTGGTGTGAATTCTTCCTTATTGTAACCCCACAAAGCCCTTTTTCTGAGGTRTGTCTCTTTAAATCCACATGAGCACTTCATCCCCCACCCCACCTCCAGCTTCCAGAGATTCTACTTTGATAGGGGCCTGTGACTATAGCAGTGCAGAATCATTTTATTTACATATTCATGAAAAGAACTGAAGACTTGTCCATCCAGCCCTACATGTTGGAGCCASAGTCTGACCCAGAGCCAGAGGAGAATGATGACGACAGAATTATAGTTGTTTGTCCAGAGCTTATAACAGTTCWGTTGCAAATAATTTGATGAAATAAAGAACACTATAGAAAAAACAGAAAACTGAACAGGTTGAAAAAATATGACCCATCAGAATATAAAGAWTTCTTTTCAAATTCAACTGTCCTGCACTCCTAGATACTCTAAGTACACAACAAAATGTAGAAAAGTGGATTTTGCACGATATGTCCCCTTTAATATTTTCATAGTGGTTCATGCAAATGCTGTTTTATAAACTTGCACACTGCTGCTAGTTTTGAAATACACAGTTAGTCCAGAAAAAACATATGTGATATTCCTGCAGAAAGTGCTTTTAGCTGCACTACTGATGCTAGTAGCCCATGCATTAAAAAAAAACAAAGAACTCAGGGAAAATGTGAAAGATGTGCAATGCAGTTTAGTTGTGGTGGAACCCACAGATGCAGACGTGAGGACTTAATGAAAAAAATATATTTAAAATGAACAAACTTAAACTGAGGTCATTCGAAGGGCTACAACAAGTAAGATATTTATAATTCATAACCTTCCCACAGGACACTTCTTCAAAAGACCTGAACTAATAYTTTAATAAGAAACCACTTATTCAAGCCTGTCTTTCTTCTAGTCAACAACCTGCCCGCTTCAGTAACCGCTGCTTGCAGACGATTGGAAGGTGCTGGCCTCACCTCCGTGCTCTYGGTGTGGGTGGAGCAGGATGTGGGATTCAGGGACTGGCCTCACTGGGTAAACATGGAACAACATGGAGCATACATCACGTACATTTTGTTATTACTTTAGTTGTGAATCCAATTCAAACCCTGTTAAGGAAAAATACTTTGAAAATTTATTTTGTGTCATACAACTAGAATGTTTGTTTTCTTGATTGTGTAAACATTTTCTATTTCTTTATYCAAATCAATTCCAAATAGTCAACTTAATGCAATGTGCATGTAAGAAAATGGCTCCAAAGTTATAAAAGCATCATATTATATTTCTAAAAACTGGCCCTTTTTTTAAAAAAAATTACGTGTAATTGTACCAAAAAATAAAATAAAATAAAATAAAACTATCAATAACCTTATCATTTGCAAAAATCCCAAAGTCTCTGTAAGCCATTTTAAGTTCAAATAACGGTTTTATCTGAAAATATGCAAAACTATTATCTTTCCAAGAGTGCAGTTTTAAAAGGGTTTGAAGATTTCTACATCCATTTTAATGATGTTTTTTAATATTTGAAATTTATAAAAGTCACAAATTGCAAAAGTCATCAGTTTTGTCCTGAATAAGTTCAACATTTAAGTATTATAATAGAAGATTTTTTTCTAATATTTGAGTTCATATAAATAAAGTCACTTTTTCAGGCCTTCAGCAGCCTTGGCTTTTTCCTGTATTTAAATTCTTTCACTGTCTTCTAGCATCTACTTTGTTTTTAATCATTTTTGACTTCATCCTGTCCATCTGTGCAGCGAGGAACTGCATGAGGCTGCAAGTGTTGGAGCTGGACCATGTGAGTGAGATCAACCAGGAGGTGGCAGCAGAGGTTTGCAGAGAAGGCCTGAAAGGTCTGGAGATGTTGGTGCTTACCTCCACACCGGTCACCCCGAAAGCCCTGCTCCACTTCAACAGTGAGTTGAAACCCTGACTGTGAAGACTTCACTATAAAACTACTGTGTGGCCACTTCCTGCTTAATATGCCTCAGTAATACCATTCAGCACAGAAACTCATCTAACTCAATGYGGTTTCCCAACAATCTTAAAATTGTGTTTGTTTTTATTTATTTATTTAAGAAGGGACAGTGCATATTACATAAAATGCCAGGTTTAGCCATGGTGGCTAGTTTTCATCTGTAGTCCCTTGTCTTTCTAACTGCGCAGGTGTTTGTCGCAGCCTCAAGTCTATTGTGGTTCAGATCGGTATAGAAGACTACTTTGAGGACCCCAGTAGTCCAGAAGCTAGAAAACTGTTTGACGAGATGGTTAACAAGCTGCAGGTAACAGACTCTCTGAGACTCACACGTGGCATCGCATTTTAGACTCCCACAATGAAAGATTTACATCACAGAAAACATTTTAAAATGTTGTAAACTTTTGTGTTTTTATCTAAAAGAAGTTGTCTCTCACAGTCTGCCACTACCCAAAATACTCCATTTTAGTCACTAGTTCCTTAAATGCATCACTGTTCCTCCATTGTATTGCGATTACATTATTGTAACGGCTACTTAAATATAGCTAAAACTCAGTTAATTTGACATATATGGAGCTAAAGTTTGATGTGGTTGTACTATCTGAGCAGTGGTGGGCAGTGCTAATCCAAAAGTTAGCTCTGCAATTTCTAAAGCACTTATGCCATAGAAAAACAAGCGGAAGCTAATTTAAAAACACAATTTCAATTTGACACTTACTAGCCAGCAACAATTCATGTACAATATATGCACAATACTGCCAACTAGCAGTATATGAACCCTTTTACAACTTAATTCTACAACCGCCGATTGCTGGGGATATGATTTCCTGAAACAGACCTTTAGCTCCAAGTGTAAAAATTAAAAAGTTGTTGAGGATTGCTAGTTTGGCTGCTTCTTTAAAAAGTTGTTGAGGATTGCTAGTTCGGCTGCTTCTTTGTCTTTTTCTTTTGTTTGTTGTAGATTTTTCACTAAAGAAGCATCAATAAAGCAATTTTAAAACTGTTTATTGGAAAACTGAAGCGATGCATTCTGGGTACATGACGGATTTGATTTGTGATGGGAAACGAAAGCAAGCAGTACAGGAAACTATCTTCCCTTCAAAATAAGAGCTTGGATTTTAAAGTTTTCCATGTAGTTGCTCCAGTTGACCACTAGATGTCTGTCTTCACCAACATAACATCTTTAAATCATTTCTGCATCTCTAACCCCTTTGCTTCGACCAATTATGAAGTATCAATTATCAAGTATTGAGCTCCAGCATTTAAACTTTATTATTATTATTATTTTAAAAAAGGAGCTTCGATTGTAAAGTAAAATAAATCAATACATACAAAATTTTAGTATGATTTACAACTGTTTTTGCTATTGCCTTCCTGCWACGTAAGCAGATACAAAGCATTGTGGGAAATGAGAACCGTGACTGAAAGCAACATTCAGCATGGATGTATACCTTTCCAATAAGTGTGTTTATCTGGGAGGGGTGCTGTTGGATAGTTTACGTGTGTTGTGATTCATTGACAGCCACACCTTCCACCGTTCAAGATAATTATGACTGATAGATAATTAGTTATTAGCGGTACTGCATTTTAATTTTAGAAATCGCAAATCTGCTCATGAATTATAAAAACTAGTAAGACCGCTAAAGCACGAATGAAATATTTAGGTCCGCAATTAGCAGATTTGCGCTTTAGCGGTCTGGTGCCCACCACTGTTTCTGAGCATCATCCCCAGCATGATGTTTGAGCTCTAACAGATCAAATGAGGTATTTGTTGAAAATGTTGGCAAAGGAAGCTGTTGGCGTTTTGGAGTCCTTTAGGAATGCTAGTTTCATTTTAAAATAGAAATGACGTCTGTTTTTTTTTTTATCAGAGTAACCACTGACTCAGTTTTTGAAGGCCTATTGGTGACTAGATTTTATCTGTTTTATGGCTAAACACACGCAGTCAGGGATAAAACAGGCTTTGTTTTAATGAGTCAGTAGGTTGCAGTAAAGATGCAGAAATGTTTCCCCGCAGTAATCTCCCTGGAAATGGTRTAAACATCAGTTTTTATCTTGATCTTTGTGCTCAGCATCATCTCTTTTCCGAGGTGAAGCTCAAGGACTTAAACACTTCTAAGCTGTCGTATTTACTACTGACGAGAAGCAGACAAGAGATAAATCTGATGCTGACATCTTTTCTTTTATTTCTTTCAGGCTCTGAAAAAGAGACCTGGCTTCTCCAAAATTCTCCACGTGAAAGCAGACAGCCTCTGCTAACATCTTTCGTTCTTCTCCGAGACGCTGAGAGGTAGCCCAAGTCAGTCAGAAGGACGCAGCTAAAGTTTGAGCTGACGCCCGAGAAGGGGTTGAACGCATCGGYTAACACAAACGACACAACATCGTAAATAAATGTGGACATTCTGGGAGAACAAATGTGAAAAATTAAAACAAAAATTTGACAAATATTTCCCTAAAGGTCAGTGGGACCATAAGACCAACAGAGGCAATTTTTAATCGAAAAGAAGAATATTTAAACTTTGCAAACTGAAGAGGCTCATCAGCTTTGTTTCAAACCGTAAAAAAAGAGAATGAGGTTAGTGACACTGGACCTGTTGACCAAGCTGCTTTTTTTACTGTCAGCATTTATATGATTGCTAATTAAGGAACAATTCACTGAAAAGAACAGGAACTTTCCACAGACGTACATAAAACCCCAGATTCTCAAGGAGCTTCGTGTCTGAGTGAGTGATGGAGTGAGTAAAAAATCCCAACTTGTCCTGCACTTATATACGGTTAAACTGGGTAAAAAAAAACCTTGTGAACACTTACTGCTTCCACCCAACGCTGAGTTCTGCTACACTGTGGAGTGAAATAAACGCAGCTTCTCTGTGACACACAGATCTCGTCTTCTTGACAGTTTGCATGGATGGGGCAGCAGCAACGCCTTTGAGAACCGTCCTCTGCTTCCTCCAACTGCGACCGTGTCCCTTACAATCCGGTGATTAATTTGGATCTTTGTTGTATCTCTGGACCTCAAYGTGTCAGAGGACAGGATGCAGTATTCGATGTTCCCTGTGCCATTTGTTATAATGTCTGTCCTTATTCGAGAGAGCATTTTCTCTGATGTGCCATTAATGCAAAGAGACAAGGACCAGCAAGGCAGACGTTTGGTCACTTCAGTGACAAAAAAAAAAGAAGAATCACTTGAGTTTTATTTAAAGGGAAAGCAGCTCTAAATAAAAGTGTCGTGTTTCATATAGAACAAAGTTTCCAGGTGTGTACAGGTGTTGTAGTGTTTGTATATTGCCTGAATTTTCATACAGAACAGTGCCATTCCAATCAGCAGGGCTATTTATTTTTAAGTTACCCTCATCAACCTTCTGGCTCCCCCTGCTGGTGACGCTGCTCCACAGCTGGCACCCCATCAGCCTAATGGCCCCCCTTTAACAGTGCAGGACAAGTATTTGCATTACAGTACAAGACTCAAACCCAGTCATCAAATCTAGAAACTGATTTGGCTGCAGATATTTTTTTTTTTGTAATTTTGCAGAAATTCTAACAAAATATAATTAGCAATATGCCCACTGTTGTGACACTTGGAAACGACTCGGCATGTTGTGAGTTATGCAGCACGGCTCAACTCGTGTTTGAGAGAATAACGCTATTGATCCTGTTGGTTTTCTCAGCTCAGAGACCATGAAAACGTGTGTTTACCGCTCAACGACTTTACCAAACACATCACGGAGAATCAGAGTCCCCCATTTTAATAATGTTTAAATTATTACTACTATTTTTAATTTTAACACGTATTTCAACTCCGTCATGGACCAAAAATAGTAATTTAAAAAAAAAAATTTATATTATTCTGGTGCGCAATTTTTTTTAAGTGTCTTTATCAAGTCCCCTTAGAGTTGTGGTCAGAGGTTTACATACATTCATCATGGATTATGCAGCATCCAAGTGCGGTGGTTTTTGAGTGCACAAGTTGGAATTTATTGTAGATTTTCTTGCCTTTTTCACATTAAAACACATCCAAGGACCTTCAGTTGTGCAAAGGTTTCGATGGTTTGTGTGTATTTTGATGCCTGATTTATTCTATCATAGAACGTGAACCATTGAAATAAATCATTGAAATTATGATACCCTTCTTGTCCATGGTGAGTGCAGGTGAACCTCTGTCTGCAGATGTTTTTGTGAAAGAGCAATATTCCTTCAGCTTATTTATTTTTGCTGTGACTGAAAAGAAAAATGCACACATGCACATCTAGGTAAAAAAAAATCAACCACACGACTTATTGTTGTTTCCTTCATTTCATGGCACAAATAAAGCTTTTATTTGTTTACAGAATTTGGTGCAAATAAGCAAAATTACAGTTTCTTGAAAAGGCTTTAGGATAGAAAAAACAAATAATGAGATGTGTAACAGTGTTCTCTACAGATGATTGTCCGTTTTTATAATTTTAGTTTGTTTATTTATTTCACTCTGGTTTTGGTTTAACTGAAGGAATAAATTTATGGGAATGGARTGCAATGTTGCTGACACTGTAGAGGAAAAAAACACAAAGCACTTGTTGATTTTGAGTTTTCGACAATCCCTGCGTTTCGTTATCAGCTACTCTGTACATAATGTTTGTAGAAAATGAAAACCAATGAAGAGGAGAAAAAAAAGACCAACATGTGATGTTGAGATAATATATTAATGTCTGAGTGGCCGAGCTGAAGTTTTAGAGATCATTCAGTAGGACTTCTCACCTCTGGGGCGTGGAATGAATGACAAACATAGAGAAATATATTATGTATAACAGTAGTGTTGACATTGAAGTTGTGTACTTAGATACTTTATATTAAATGTGCATCAGATTCATATAGAGATGGAGATTATTTAAGAAAAGGATAATTCAGCTATTTATTTCTTTAAAAAAAAAGAAAAAAAGAGCGCTGTGTATAATGTTGGCATGTTTGTGTTCATGCATCAAACATTGAGTTGCCTTCTTAACTGTTCTGCTATTGTGGCAAGAAAATTATTAGATGTTTAACGAGCTTTGATTGCCTGCAGGTTAATAATACCTTTTTCATTTGACCCYGTGTGTTGTTGCACTATAGAGGAACAAATAATAAAAAAGAGATGTTTATTATAAAGAGGGTTGTTTTAATCTTTCTCAGTATTTAAATGAAACACAATGCACTTTTTGTTTTCTCGAACAATTTTCTCGGTTTGGGTTGATGGTTCTGGGATATTTGGCAGTTTGTTGAGAACCTTAGATGGTGAATCTCRTGGAAAAGGGACTTGGAAATAATTTCTCTCACAACATCAATCATTTAGTCTCACAGCACTCGGAAAACTAAAGAATAAATCTGGTTGAGATGTTTTTTAAAGTGCTCTTTAAGGCTGCCAGTATGAGCTGATGCTCACCTAACTTTCTTTGTTTTGTAATTCAAAATGTTTTCRGCTGTGATTTGAAATGTTATGAACTAGTAACATCCTACCTGCTGTAGACAGATTCATTCACAACCTTAATTTGAAGAAACAGTTTAAGTCTGTTYATTGACGAGCTAACGGCTAGTCTGAGCAGAGCCAGGACCAAAGTGGATCGCGGCCATTTTAAAACCAACTCCAGTCTCAAATATTTTATAGCAGTTCATGCAAGCGCTGCCTGACAAACCTTTACACCACCATCACTGTTGCATTGCATTTTTATTCTAGTATGCACGTATCAAACTAAAGGCCCACAGGCCAAATCTGGCCCTTGTTAACATTTTTATCTGGCCCCAAACGTAATAMTTTAAATGTGAAATATGGCTTCTTTTTTGTCACTGTGTTTAGTGCGTTTTTTATGACAGCAGGCCAACTTTCAGATCAAGAAAATTAAGTTAGAATTGTTATTATTATTATTTATTTATTGTGTGAACAAAAGAGAGTCAACAGAGCAACATTGACATCAATTATCTTTGCATTGTTTTCTTTATTTAAAGTCAAATTGGACTTTTTACATTTTGTTTTGTTTTACCTGATTATTTGGATTGTGATAAAATGTATCTTTAAAAAATAAGACATTTTTTTGGTTGGAGAGTAAGGCATAAAAATTAATGCTAATGATGAGTCTTTCCAAATTCAAATTTTTTTTCTTTATTCGTTAGATTATATATGTTTTTTAATGTTACCTAAAAACACAATTTAGAAAAGGACATTWGTATTTATGATTTGTTTGTTATATAAAATTTCAACAAATAATGAAATGTAATTGGCCCTTGGCTTGGACCAAGTTTAGATTTTTGGCCCTCTTGTGTAACTGAGTTTGACACCCCAGTTCTAGTAGAAATATGATCATATTTCTGCAGGAAGCACCCCAGGCTGCACCAGAAGTGTAACAGCTAGTTGCTGCTGCTAATTGTACTTTCATATAACCACAGAAATCTATGTAAATAACGGTGTCATGCTGAATTAACAGCAGTGTTGCGTCTGCATCAACCACTATGACTGAAACTGGAGTTGTTTTAACACCTGGTTTACGCTCTGCTGTTCTCGGGCTCACGAATGGCACCACTCGACCAAAAATAAGCACAATCACAGATAAAGCAAGACTGTTCAATCATTACAGATGCTTTAAAAACTTCCAAAAACAGTTTATTAAATGGAATCTGTTACATATCATTTTAAATGATGAACATTCTCCCTGTGCTCGACTCTTCTTCTCGTGTCAAACAGGTGACGGTGCAATGTCATCATTCCAGAGCAGCATCCATAGAACCCCGTTTTATTAGATCTGGACTATCCTTCTAACTAGTAAATCTCACTTTTTCTGTTTTGACTTGTTGTGAATGCTGCAGGGCCTCTTGGCACTGTAACTGCAGATTAGAAGAGCCACTGGAATAACTTTTTMATCTGCCTGACTCATTAACAATCAGAAGAGCCATCTCAGAACTGGAGTTCTTCCTCATTCATGTCTTACTTTTTCAACTCAAGTGTCTTCTGATACAATTTGATCATTTCATCATGCTGTGCAATAAAAAAAATAAAATAAAAACTGTGCAAGTGCTTACAGAACTGTGTATATTTTCTGTATGACTGATTGTACTGCTGCCCGTCCGTCTGACGAGTGTTTTACATGTTACCTCAACACTKAACAGTTGAGCAGTTGAGTGTGTATTTATTTCATGTCTGACTGCCATCATCCATGAACTTCGTCCAAATTTCTCCTGCAACAAAATGTATTCTGTTGGTGAAAATTGCTTTTGCAGTAAGAGCGATCAGCCTTCTATGATGACTGTATTAGATGGATTCTCATTCATTTGATGTCATCAATAAAATATGCTTTAAATTGTAGTCATTGTTTTCTGTTTATTTTTTTAATGTTTACTTAGGTTGCAGGGTTATATTCCTYGAAACACCCTTGTGAGGTTTGTGGATTTTTTCCTGGGCTTAAAAGTTATCTAAAACTGAAGAAAAGAAATGTTGCTTTTGGACTCATGTATCTTTATTTTTTTTAATGATCATTTCAGGATGGTTGTATTTAACATATATTGACACAAGAAACTTTACATGCAATGGTGGCTGAAAGCAGTTGATGWTGATAAAGCAAAAAATTTTAAAAAGTGTAAAAATGTAGTTACGTTTGTTAGAATGTGCCAAAAAAAGAAAAAAAACTAGAAATGCAAAAAGGCAACTATTTAGATTTTTTCAGGTGTTTGTTAGAACAAAAACACAAGTAATACAAACACGCACTTAACTGTGTTTAAAAGTTGTCATACTTACAGTGCATGYCATTTATTGTGCAATAGTTATCAAATATGTGTATAAAAATACAATTAAAGGCCAATCATTCCTTGGAAAAATGCTCATCCACATCAGAATTTCAGACTAAGATCATCCTATGTTTTAAGCAAAGATCTTGTTCGCTGAGTAACACTTGAAGTATATGATGTGAATGACTCTCAGCAACTACCACACCAAATTTTTGCTCAACATTKGTAAAACAGAACAATTTTTTTGTATTGTCTTTTTTCAGCTGGATGTGGCAAATGTCTTGAATTTGATTAGCTCCAAAAGTGAACTKGTTGTAGAGGTACATCTAATAGTTATTTCCCAATTGATCCAATAGTTCACAAGATATTTTACTTACTAAGTTAGCTTCAAGCAAGATGTTCTAGAATGTGTCAACCCTCAGAGTATCTGTTAAGAATCAGCCTCAGCCACACCATACTTTAAACAGTATTAGAAAAGCTGACTGGATTATCAACGTGATTATGAGAGGCCGTTCAGGCCATGATTGTGAGAGCCTTAGACTTTATAGTACATGTGAGAGCAAGTTTGAATTATGGCCTAAAGGACCTCTCATATGTCGTTGTAGTTGAGTTAGCTCTGGCAGCCATATTGATTCAGGTTAAATCTAAATATTTAAGCTTACCCAATATTATCTCTTGTTTGGTGATTGTTCATTTTTATCTTTTAATTTTCTCCTAAGCAGATGTGTCAAAAGTATTCACGTTCATAGTATAGATGCAAGAGTTTAAAAATACTGTTTTGGAAGTAGAATTATCAGCTCAAGTTTTTTACTCAAGTAAAAGTGTAAAAGTACTGGTTCTAAAGCTACTTCAAGTATAAAAATAAAAGCAATGTGAGTTTAATAAGAAGCYACTAAGGACAAAAGCTTAGGGGTCTATAGTGCACAATCCCACCTCTCCCTAAATTTTTTTAAAGGCAATAGTGAAAACTGTTTCAGCCATRTTATATTTCTGCCACAATCATTTTCATTCTAGGGAACTCATGTCTGCTATCCTGCTGGAAAGTGACATGTTTGTGTCTTCAGGTGTGAAGGACTTTGTTCAAACCAATAGGATGTCAGAATGTTATATACTGTATTTATACTTTTCATCCATCAATCAAATTCACTCTATCCAAGGGTTACATGTATCTGGACAGATTGCCTTTTTTTTTAAACAGTGACGAGCTGGATTAAAAACAAGCCGAAGTGAATTAGAAATAAAATACTCTTTTTTTTTCTTTTTTTTTTTTGCATTTTTAAAATATAAGGAGTAGAAAGTACAGACTATAGCGTGAAAATGTAAGGAGTTGAAGTAACAAGTAGGCTGAAAACAATTACTCCAGTAGCTAAAGTATAAAGAACCAAAATTTCTACTTAAGTAAAGTAACAAAGTATTTGTATTTGTCTGATCCCAGGGAAACAGGACAAAAAAAAAACCTTCCCTGCTATGAAACTGGAAGCAGGAAGTTGACACAGTGTGCTGACGTGTTTTCTGGTAGCTGGTTTGAAAAACCACATTCAGGAAGCTCAGCTGTATATGTTAAACAGGAAATTACGAAGAGGAAAAGTTGCTGTCAGCCAACCGTGTAAACTTTATCTTCTCGTGGTTAAAGGCCCACATGTTAGAGAAGACACACAGCTGTGCGCAAACAAAGAAACTGATGACTTTGTTCTCTAACCAAATTATTTTAGTCACAGAACTGGTTCTACAAAAATGTAAAAAAGAAAACCAAAAATCTTCTCAGACACACTGTTATCATAAAATACACCTTTGCACACATTTTACGTTAAAATTTTCAACAACTTTGTTTTCTGACAAGAATGAATTGATGTAAAAATGGCTTTATTTAGCCAAAGAAGAAGAAACGTCATGTTGAGGGTTTTAAAAGTGGCAGCTGGGTGGTTAAAGTCCTGCAGCGTCACGTGTTCATCTGAGCAGGAGGCCGGTCACTCTCTCTCTCTCTCTCTCTCTCTCTCTCTCTCTCTCTCTCTCT